AAATGGATCAGCAATTTCCTTATTGATCGGAAGTGGAGAGTCCAGGTGGACAACCATCTAACTGAGTGGTATCCATCGAGCAGCGGCGTGCCCCAAGGCACTGTACTGGGCCCGATATTGTTTCTAATCCATATAAACGATGTGCCTCAGCTACTACAATCACATTGTGCTTTGTTCGCAGATGATTTGAAAGTGTGGAGAGTAATCCGCACACTCAATGATTGCGATTTACTTCAGCAGGATCTCGACCGCCTCTCGACATGGTCTGCAGAGGTTAACCTTCCGATCAACCCTGCTAAGTCGCAATTCATGAGGTTGGGTAAGTATGATCACGGCCGAACGTACACAGTGGCTGGACAACCGTTGCATCCCACTCCTTTCGTGCGCGACCTCGGTGTACTCTCACGCTGCGACCTAAAGTCCATTGACAACACGAATAGGCTGTACCAAAACAGCCTTCGTATGCTTTGGGCTCTCAGGCGCAGCTTTAGCACTTGGTCCGAAGAGATTGCTTCTCGCCTCTTCGTCTCGATAATACGACCAATGCTGGAGTACGGCACTCCCGCATACTGTCCCATCACCCGGGGAGAAGTAGACAAGCTTGAGCGGGTGCACCATGTAGCCACCAGGCTGATTCCCAACTTACGAGGTATGTCATACGAAGATCGATGTAAGAAACTAGGGTTATACACCCTATCTTATCGTCGGCTGAGAGTTGACCTCATCATGACGCACCGGATCCTACATCTGGGTGATTACCCCATGTTGAGACAACTACTTCATCTGCGCACACCAAGCTGCACGCGAGGACACCGGTATAAACTTATCGTCCCGGATTTGAAGCGGGTCGCCCATCAACTCTGTTTCGAACGCAGAGTGGTGAATGTCTGGAACGACCTGCCTCATCAAATAGTAGAAGCGAACACAGTGTCTAAATTCAAGATGCTACTAGACCAACAATTTGCAGAGGCAAAGTACAGAGAGCGAAACGATAAATAAAAAGTTCATGTCCGAAAACGACGAATGATGCAGCTACACAGAGCAACCTCTACTTGCTGCTTCGCACCAGTTCTCAGTTCTCTCACGGGTCCGTCCCACTAATAAACGTTCTGGGCCGATTCTAAGAATCCTTGTCAGTCATCGTTTCACAGGGTTACGAGCACCCTGAGACCTGATTGCGTGCCTCGAAGATCTATCCATAGATAGGAAATCTTTAGTTGAGTGCACAGCAAGTGTCAAAGGCATAATTCATAGTGTACACTTGAGACAACTTCAGTCAGGGTTGGCCTCACCAACCTCATTCATCACTGACAATTGCTGAACCAGTTCGTCATGATATTGCTGGACTGCAGACTACAAGTTTCAACTACAAGGGAGAAGCTTAGAAGTTGGGTGCTTCTTTGAATCGAGTAGAGTGAGAACCAGGAGTGCACGTACCAGAGCATGGTCGGAATCCAGGCGCGTGCTCCAAATTGACCGACAGACTTCGACTTATGTGCACCATCTGTAGCTGATGATCATCGGGTAATTCGGCGGGAGTCAGGTAACACGATGTAAACGTTTGCGCTGGTAAACAGCAATGTTAATGTAAGGATTCTGATTGGTGCACGGTTGACAGAATCCATGGACATTTTCTGTTCCACGTGCATCAATCCAGAAGCTGACTCTCAAGTGTAGTTCCGAAAGGCGATCCCCTTGGGCACTCATTGGACCAGCAACAATCGAGATTATTAACCATGCGGAGGAGATGATAGATCTGACCATGATCAGTAAATTAGCCATTTGAACTGATGCTTCGCTGCCGTGCAAAAATAACGACATACGGCATGAGGAACACTAAGGGATAAGCGGGACGTAGCGTAGAACGTTAGGGTCCGAAGCAACCATTTAGGGTCAAGGCGCCTATACCTTGTGTAGACAACATACCGTCACAAACAGCTGGCTATCGTGCAAAGATTAGGCGACATCGGAGAGACAGCTCCCTTGCGGCTTTCACTGTCACGCGTCATAATCAGCCATTACCCCGCAGATAACTCAGCACCAAACACACTTTAAACAGGCAGTCCGATTAGGAGATGGCAGCAGACGCGCCAGTAGTGCGACTGCGAGCGCTGCCTTATAACATCTCGAGCCCAGCACAAGGCGGATCACGCGGACTGCAGCCTGAAAGGCGAGACGGACCAACCGTAACCAGTTTAGTCGTCAGTGACTGCATTTTCCGCTGCCAAGTCAACTTTTGTCGACCTCGAGGCTTGCGCCACCCTAAATATGGCAGAGTAAAAAAGATCATTTCGGCAAGCTGGGTCCGGGCCTATTTGGCACGTATCCAAGCCAATGCAACTTATTCAGTGCTATCTGTTGTTCTAACGAACTAGCTTGGTTATCACTACCTAGTAGTCGCCTCACCAAATCATCGTTGCGGACACGCTGGTGCCATCCGACACCAGTTACAGACTATATTTGATACCTTCCGAAATGCAGTTACTACAGATACAAAAAGAAGAGGTGTAAGCGCATCTTATCTTCAGACGGCGTTAAGTAACATCAATAAACGTTGAAAGTGGAACTTCGCACATGCAGCTGCTTATTGGTGTTCAATCGAGTAGAATGCCTTCATGTTTGTTGAGGGCGAAACCAACCCCTTAATAAATAGCGTGAACCATTGACTCAGTATCGCCAGTGTCCGGGAGAAAGTAAGAAATGCCTAGGAAATCCACTATTTTAGCGATTAATCGATTAGTAACAATTATCGCATCGATTTCAAACGTTCCGGAATGTTTTAGTTTCTGCACGTGACTAAAAACTACCTGACACCTCGGCAAAAGCTACGGGGAAGCGCCAACCTTGGTGGTTGACCTCCCAACTCTAGAAGTCGAAGGTCAGTAAGAGACCTATAAATACAGCCAAGGTCTGTGGTAGTAGTACGGTATTTGTTGATGGTGATTAATACCTTATTTTGTCAAGATCATTGGCGTTTTGCTTTTTCCCTCGGTTGGTCTAGAAGTTTGGTGGAGCAGCAAAGTGTCAATTTCGAAATCGCGTCTAGTAAGAAGATTATACTAGCCAGATACACGAAGAGTGTAGTCACTGTTGTCAGATATAGAACCAGGCAGTCGAAGATTCGTCACATCGCTGTCAGCTTGTATGCGTGCCTCGAAGACACAGCACACATAAATACCAAGAGAGTGAAGATTGAGGGTTAGTGCTGATCGTTGGCCGATCTGACCCAGAATGGGGGGGGGGGGTTGAATGAATAATGTGAGACGAGACTCTTGGTTTGATCGATGGGCTACACATCTATCGATAGCAGCAATTGTGAGATCAGTGGCAGTCTCTTGCTTCATAGACGGGGAGGAAGAAACTTGCGAGAGGATGAAAAAACAAGAGGTGGAAGATGGGATTGATAGCGCAGATGATACTCTCCGGCCGCCATACATCTAGCCATTAACCCAACAGTCTGACCAACTAGACAGTGGCGTACATGAAAGGTCGCTTGATGGACTCCATCCGGAGCATTTGGCTCAATAGCCTGATCACAAGGAAGGGGGAGCAAGTCCAGCTCGGGAGTGTGGTTGCAGAGAACCAATGGGATCGGCTTGAGGTCTGTCACACGTAGTCTTTGAAGAGTTAGAACAATTCTCAAGTGTTTTACGATGGTAGTACGTTACGCACCTTGTGCCCCATGCTGAGGCTGATGTTGCATTCATGATGCTTCTTCACCGCAGTTGGGCTAAACCAACTTACACTTAAAATAGGTCTTTTTAATGTGGATAAAAGTCGTTACACTTTATTTGGTTTTTTCTGTGTACTTGAGAATCTTCTCCCAACTTGCACACATCGCTCATGCAAATTGTGGTAAACTTGCGTAATTTCATCGTGTGGTATCTTTTAAATAACTTTCGGACATTTTGTACTTATCCCGGATTCACTTATAACCAATTTCTTCTATATGCTCATTTAGCGAGTATTTATGTCGTCATATGCGTTTACTTTATTCGATATCAGCATTTCGAATGATTGGCTGTTGTTTGACATCCCAGGTGTGGCTGCGCTTGATGTGCATGTTGACAAGGTGCCTACCTGTCTATTACCCACTATCTTGTCCATACTGGCTCTAGGAGACAGTTGGTCGTTGCTGGAGGGGACGGGGTGCACGGTCCTTGTGGCCGTGCTAGGCTCGAAGAGTGGTTCCATGCACACAGTGTGGAGCGGACTACGGTCCAGCCACCGCCTTGTGTGCACTTGATTCCCCAAATACAGCGTGCTTGTGTTTGCCTGTGAAGGAGTGTGGGCCGGCTCCGTTGATGAAACTTGGCTCCCATCCGCATGCCTCCCAGTCTTATTTCTTCGGGTTTACACTGGATATGGGGAGTGTGGATGGAGCTGTGGGTGGTGCAGCGCAAGCCATCCATGTTCCCTCTGTAGGCGCAGGCGTCCTGTGGCTGGCTCCAATGACAGGTAAATCCGAAACCGGATGCCGTCAACCATGTTACGCACCTGGGACCATGGCTAGTCGCAGGTGCGAGTTGTGGGGGGGGGGGGGGTTCGCACCAATTTGACCAAGGGATGTTTGGCTTGATGCGGACGGTAGTTAGTCATTGAGCGCGGGAAGGTGCTTTTCCAGCGTCAGAGAAAATGTGTAGTGCTCGTGTTCTACCCCAATCAAGCTGTGGGCTGATAACCCATAAACTGTTAGGGGAAGCACCTACTGCGGAACGGATCAGTGATCACTATGTGAACCAAATTCCAAGCGTTGTTAAACGGGCACTTGTGCCTGATGAACTAAATGAAATGCAGTTTGGAGACTATATGGTAGCACATTAAGCCACTGATTGAGCCATTGAAAACATAAACGATGAAGGTGATTGCTACGAGTGGGAAAGCGAATACAGGCGAACAACACAAGTCCTATTGGACGAGGTGGCCATTTGGATGAAGGTAAAGCCGAAACGCGCAACGGAAATTACACGTGTCTGAAAATGCAAGGTGTCCACTCATACCTCATTCCGCCACCCACGAAGGGCATGAAGGGAATTTGTGGCGCGGAGATCTCGCATCGCATGGGCCACGGCAGAGGTCCTCTCGTGCGATGTTCGGAGGGAAGGGTGTAGCGTCACGCATCGTTCGCCGCTGATTGGATCGGCGTTCAGCACAAACACATCCGGGTAGGCCAACAAAGAAGGTAGAACATCCGGGCGGATGAGACCCACGAAGTACCCATCCAACACGAACCGACAACACGATGAACGCGAAGAATCTGCGCAAAAGGAGAGGAGGATGGCAAAGTAGAATGTACGTGAGGCAATATGAATGAGTGGAGGAGAAAGACAATGGTGCAATAGGTGTGTTTCGGAGGACAGAATGTGGGCAATGACTATAAGGCCCAATAGGGGAGATCAGATAAGAAGATGCGGAACAAGTTACGCTGACGAAAAAGCAAGATGATTAGCATAGCAAGCACAAGATTAGTACAGGGTGCACTGCGACTCCGGTTGTGATGCGGCACAGGCGATGCAGGCGCTGCAGCTAGATCATGCCCGTGGGGTGCATTGTAGTCATTTTTTTACATTTAGCGGCAGTACGCCGGCAAACTGCATTGTTTCGCTGTCAGGACTGGATATATCGCAGATTGGAACCGGTGACTTCCAGATAACAAGGCAAGCGTGCAATCCTTTCGGTCATCGGTCCGCTGGTGTATAATCCATGCTGGAAAAAGTGACGAGCGTACAAGTGGGCTTCAAGCTCTCTTTTCGAAAAGATGTTCTGAGTAGTGTTCCCTAGAAGTCGGTTATCGGTCCTCTACCGTTCGCACTGGATGTGAATGACCAACCTGAGGGTCACAAGATTTCACCTCTTATGGTCGCAGATGACCTAAAAGTCTGTAGTGCAGTGAGCGATTTTGTAGGCCCCTTGACTTTGCAGATAACACTTGGCAGGTTTTTGGAGTTGTCATAATTGCGGCAGCTGTCAATAAATGTTGCCAAGTGTTCGGTCCTACGCATAGGATCAAACACACCTTCAACTCGTTATCTATTTGGCGGAAACGCTATACCACAGGTGACCTACCAAGTCGACATAGGTATCACGCCGTTCTCGGACTTTAAAACCAGCGACAACTAGACGGTTGCTACTCGCAAGGGTTTACGAATGCTGTGGATGATCCACAGATCATTTGGGATCAGAACAAATGAAATGTTTGTTATGTTCACAGCCTTTGTCAGAATATAATAGAAATACTGCGTGAAGGCCTGTCATCCATACTTGGTTCGTGACAAGATGGCAGTTGAACTAGTTCCGTGGACTGGCACGAAATGGTGGACGGTAGAGGAATCAGTCTTATCCCGATAGGATTCTCCGATTAAAGACATTTTCGCTACATTACAGGCGCCTTCGGGGCGACTTAATCCTAAGGTATCATACACTGACTGGCCAGACTGCGCTTGATCTGTCTTGACTCTTCCATCCAAACCCGGATGCCAACTCTTCGGGGCAATTCACTGAAGCTTCATCAGACCACATCCAGTCGCCTTTGGTCTGAGTTTCGTCTAGGACGTAGTTGTTCAGTTCAGTGGAACATCTGTGATCCGACCACCCATGTGCGGTGCAGCCAGTTTCCACGACTCACATGTCAAGAATAACAAAAAATAACGGCGGCAAGATAGTGAGGCTAAAGGCAAATAGAATGTAATGGAAATGGGAGTAAGAAGGAAGTGCGTTAAACTAATCAGAATGAAACAAAGTTTAACAACCAGGTGCATGAAAACGAATGTGGGAACACCGCTGACTGCATGACTGCGCCATGTCTGATACGGTCTCCCACCATCGGTGTGGACCATTCCGAGGATTCATGCACCAGCCTGAGCAAGTCTCTTAGTCAATTTCTTCATGTCTCTGCCACGTCACGAACTAGACGTTGGGTCGTAGATTCATGGAATGCCCTAGCCAAGGTTGTGGCACACTAGCACCAACGGTGAAGAAGTCTGAACACCGACTCGATGTCCTTGGCTTGCAATTTAAAAGTTTCCCTTTTGACTCTTAAATGACGCTTCCATTTCCTCGATTGCATTGCTTATTGCTATTACTACTGCCTTGCACATTTGTGCTTACGTAACAATTATGTTTTTGTTGTTGTTTCCCTTCCCTTAGCCTTTGTCGGCTTGTGACCTTAAGGATCACGTGCCTGCCTTGTAGTCACGAGTGACCGGCGGTGATTGCGCGGCAGCGAATCATCGGTACAACGTATCGGTGGACTGCTGATTCCTTCTTCATCTTCTTTTTTCTTCTTCTTATTATTATTTCGTAGGCAATTTCTTCATTAATAATTGAGATTCATCACAGCCGGCTTCCAAATCAGATAGTCGTCCACATGCCCGCAAAAAGCACTAGACTGCAGTTTCAACCTGTTGGGCATCATCAGTAGTGCGCATCCGTCGGATCTACCAGAATTTGAACCCATGATCATCAGCGGCTTGCACCGCCAGTCAGCAGCATATGCCACTGGGCCACCGCGGACAGCTTCGGACCGTCATGAGTTACTTTCTGTCTCGTCACCGCTTGCCCACCCTGTGTCTTTACCCAGTATATTGCATTGACAGAGAGGCGCTTAGCGGATGTACGGTAAACACGATGTGATCAACGCAAATGGTTCATGTCTAATGGACACCTCATCTGGTTGACCAGAGCATGATTTAATCGGAACGTCCCCAGAATATCAACGATACTCTGCATTCAAAGGTGATAAAAAAAGACTGGCTTCTTAATCTTTCCAGTGCGTAGTTCCTAGTCCAAACAGTCAAAGCCGTACCATCCCTACAGATGGATGCAGATTTGGAAGGGCAAACACCGACATCGTTGACATGACTAGATAGATAAGTAAACCAATGGTCAATCAGAGTGGCAGTAGGATTAGACTGCTTTTTGCGTTCAGAATCAACTATTAGTCTGCCCCAGTCTACCGAAGACGTGGAAGCAACATTGCCTTCGTACAAGTCGTCTTTTGTATTTCACAGCAAGTTATCATTAAAACCATACAGTAGCCACGGATAAGTCAGCCGGAAAAGTAAATGGATGCAAGAAAACGAAAGCATGAGCAACCGGACTGTGGCATATTGGATAAGATCTCTAATCACCTGCGTGGGCCATCCATAAAGACGGCACACGTATGCCCAATCAATTCTGGCAGGCAATTTCTTCATTCCTCTAGCCAAGTTATGGGTTAGTCGTGACTTTACGGTTTCTAGCAAGCTGGTGACGCAAGAGCATGAAATGAGCGCTGAGGAAGCTGGAAAACGAGTATACGGAAGACATGACCTTGATAACGCAGGCAGTTGAACTTAAACAAAAAGAGTGAAGCACAAGAGCATTTCATGACGAAAGATCATGGGGCGGGTTTCTACATTGTTCACCCGGTGTTTCCATTAAATGTGAGTAGTCTTCCACAAGCATCAATGATCAAACACAGTTAGCCTGTCTTGTAATCCGAGCCCGTGGGTTCGAGCCCGCCTAGGGACCGAGCGACCATACCAGTACCCCTAGTTCATGAGCGACTGTTCGGGGTTGCGCGGCAGAGAAGCGTTGGAACTGAGTACCTGTCGGCTTGTGGCCGAGTGTTCTGCACGCCTGGTTTGCAACCATAAAGTCATGCGTTCGAATCCGCGAGGGGTGGGCGTCCTCGCGGTATACTCAGCCTAGGTGCGACTGGTGATGGTCGCTCGGCAGCAAAGCGCCATAACGGCGCACAGCTGAGACATTATTTATTTACTTTTTTACTGAGTAGCGGCGAACCACTGATGTCGTTTATAACCATTATTGCCTTCACTGAAAACTGGCCAGGTCTCTGATCCACACAGTAACACCGATCTTAATGCAGCGTTATACACACTACCTTTCACTGACAGCCTGACATCCTACCATCACCAAATATGCTTAAGTGTCTGGAAAGACACACGGACCTCACTAAAACACGAAGTAACCTCCTCAGTGATATGACCATCAGATGTGACCCAACTATCAAGGTAAGTGAGCTGCTCCACAATAACCAGTGGATGTTCACAGATAGCAAAAACCAGTAGCGTATCGGTCCAGTCCTTCAGCAGTAATTTGCACTTGAAGATGCAAAGCATATGCCAAAGTGTGCGGTGCAATGCACCAAGCTAGCTAGTAGTGTTTGAATAGTTACTGCGTCGGACTCAACGTGAGCTATGTTGAGCGCATATTTAAGATTTGTTAGTTGGTTACATGGCAGAACTTCCACTGCAAAAGAGTCTGAAGGAATAGCATTACACGATCATACAGATCACAAAGAAAGGAGGTACAGGATAGTCTTAGAAAACGAGACTTGTCCACGGATCTCAGGAGACAAATCCCTGAAAACTTTTACCCAGTCTCCGTAGTCACGGTAGGAAGACTTCAGAATAGAAAAAAAGTTAGCTGGCAAGCCCACCACAAATGGGCAGTGTCACAAGCTCACTGAATCAACAGAATCGAAAGTCGATAGCAGAGCAAGGAAAACGTCTATAGTCAGTCGTCCGCAGATGTCACTCCTCAGACACATGACGAGTAAATATGTGATTGATGAAACCAGGGCGGAGACTGGCCTGATTATTAACGATTCGGCTTTCACTGGGAAAATAATAATAATAATAACAATAATAATAATAATAATAATAATAATAATAAATCGCCAGCTGTATGCCGTAACGGCGGTTTGCTGCCACACAACAACCACCAGTCGCGCGTGGGCTGAGTTTACAGCGAAGACGCCCGCCCCTAAGCGGACTTGAACCGGTGACCTTATGGTTGCAAGTCAGACGTGCATACCACTCGGCCACCGGCCGACCAGAAGAGTGATGTCCGTGAGAAATTTGGATACAATCGAAACAAGGGTAATGTCTCGATGAAGTTTGCACGAAGGAGTCCGACTTTTCTTGAAGATGAGCACAAAAGTTGACAGTCGCCAGGCTAAAGGCACCATTTCAGCGTTCCAATTCGTGTTAGACAGAGAAACAAGTCCAGTAAACAAGGAGCCACCACCATGTTTCAACAAAGATGGAGGAAG